TCAAGCCCGCTCGCAAGCCTCTGGCACGAGCCGTCCGTTTGCTCGCAAGCCTTCGATTAATCGAGCAGACTCCAGCCCTAATATTCAGCTACAACAGAAACAGCGTTAGAAAATCATCGAAGAATCTGTGGAGCACATTCTTCAGCTAAAACTATAATGAGTCGTGATGACTTTACAGCTTTTCAAAAACATAGTTTTAAAATTAGACTACCATTCGTTATCTATTGTGATTTTGGAGCAACTAATATTCCTATAAATGATACTAATAATAAAAATACTAGAAAGTTTTCCTCTCAAGAGATAAATAATTATGGAATGGGTTTTTAAAAAAAAATCTGATTATGAAAATATAATAGAATCAGAATAATTTGATATAGGAGAAGATGCTATTAAAGAGTTTGTTCGACAGTTAATGTTTTTATATAGTGATACATGTGTATTAAGGTGTTATAAAAAAAAACTAAACCAAAATTAACCACGGATGAAAAAGAAGAGTTTCAAAAAGCTACTAGATGTTATATGTGTAATGGCAAATTTCATAATGATAAGATAAGAGAACATATCATTTCACAGGAAAATATAGAGGAGCAGCATGTATTCTATGTAATTCTAGAGAAGGAAAAGCAACAAAAATGGTTCCTATATTATTTCATATTGGATCTAACTATGATTTTCATTTCATGATAACAGAACTAATGAAATATGAAACAAAATATCACAACATAAAAGTATTAGCTAAAACCGCCGAGGAGTATAATCAATTGAATTTAGAAATAGTAAATTAAAATTAAGATTTTTAGACTCATAGATTTTAAAGAAAAAGCTTAGATGCCATTGTATAATCACTGAGTTTCCAATATAAAGAAGATACCATGATGTTCTATAAGTTTGGTTATGATAAAGAGGAAGTTATTCCATCTAAATATAATACGTAGAGTTATTAAAATCAAAAGGTAGCCTATTATTACCCTTATAAATATAATTTCAATAAATAAATTAAATGAAACACAGCTACCACCTTTTATATTTTAAAAAAATTATTCAAGTAGAAAAAAGCTACATTACATTCCAAAGGATAATTTCCCATATAAATAATACTTAAATGGTATAATTATAAAAGAGTTTCACAATGGTTTTCTAAATTAAAGAGAGAATATAATAATAATATAACAGAAGAAGAATATAAAAAAGCACAAAAGGTTTGGGGATATTGCGACTGTAAAACATTAAGAGATTATCATGAGTTAGATCTATATCTTAAAACAGATATTTTATTATTAGCTGATTCATTCGAACAATTCAGATGTTGTAATTAAGATGACCACCAAATCGATCCTTGTTATTGTTATACTAATCCTGGTTTAACATGGCAAGCCTGGACTCGACTAGATCCAGTCCCCATGTGTGAATCGAGTTGATTGATAGGCCTAGTATGTCTCCGCCAATTCACAGGCAAGTAGTCAAGAGTCACTCTTCGGTCATTCGCCCACCAGGCCACCACTAGATATAGATCTAGATCTAGAATCTAAATCTAGACCAAACTGCACACTCTTGGCTGGGTGCACAACAAAATCTAGATCTGGATCTAGATACATTTATTCATGAAATACTCTCTCTGGGCGAAAATAAATTTATTATAGATAGACATACTACCCGAGATGATCAGTAAGTTTATAGGCCTGGCAGCCTTGCTTTGTAACCAATGTAAACTACCGCTCGCTCAGCGAGCCAATCACAATCCAACATTTTGGGGGTCCACCTAGACACCATGACTACGTAGACCCCAGTTGGGGACTACCTAGACACATGACTACGTAGACCCCAATTGGGGACTACCTAGACACATGACTACGTAGACCCCAGTTGGGGACTACCTAGACACATGGCTACGTAGACCCAAATTAGGGACTACCTAGACACATGACTACGCAGACCCCAATTGGGGACTATCTAGACATATGACTACGCAGACCCCAATTGGGGACTACCTAGACACATGGCTACGTAGACCCCCATTGGGGACTACCTAGACACATGACTACGTAGACCCCATTGGGGACTACCTAGACACATGGCTACGTAGACCCTCATTGGGGACTACCTAGACACATGACTACGTAGACCCCAATTGGGGACTACCTAGACACATGACTACGTAGACCCCAATTGGGGACTACCTAGACACATGACTACGTAGACCCCAGTTGGGGACTACCTAGACACATGACTACGTAGACCCCAGTTGGGGACTACCTAGACACATGGCTACGTAGACCCAAATTAGGGACTACCTAGACACATGACTACGCAGACCCCAATTGGGGACTATCTAGACATATGACTACGCAGACCCCAATTGGGGACTACCTAGACACATGGCTACGTAGACCCCCATTGGGGACTACCTAGACACATGACTACGTAGACCCCATTGGGGACTACCTAGACACATGGCTACGTAGACCCTCATTGGGGACTACCTAGACACATGACTACGTAGACCCCAATTGGGGACTACCTAGACAACATGACTACGTAGACCCCGATTGGGGGCTACTTAGACACCATGACTACGTAGACCCCCATTGAGGACTACCTAGACACCATGTCTACGTAGACCCTAATTGGGGACTGTCTAGACACCATGTCTACGTAGACCCTAATTGGGGACTGTCTAGACACCATGACTACATATAATATCATTACAACCAAAGATCAGATGGGTACAGAGTACGGGAACCAGCGTCTGTGGTGTAGCGGTTAAGAGCTTCGCTGTCACATGCAGGAGACCTAGTGTTGATTTCCAAGAGGGGAGAAAATTGTTATCTAGTATCTCTGCCTTTCTACTGTGATGTTGTATCTCTCTCACTTTTAAGCATAGATTTATCACAGTCTTATCCATCTTTAGTATCTCTATAACAGATGCCATGATTCATTGCTATTTCATTTAATTCATTTATAGGTTTTGAATGTGGTATAGGATTATAATTGGAATCGAGTATTTTATGTAGTTTAGTTCCTGGACCTTGCAAAATTATAACCTGGTAAATGTAATTCAAAAGGTAAGTCAGTCCAACCCTTTCAGCTCTTTCGATGTATAAATGTACTTTTCTTTGTTCCACACAATCATGCCACACGTTCCTGTTATTATTACTCTTCTATTATAAGTAGTATTCTTAAAGTAGACATCGTTAGAAGGTGTTACTCTTCTACATTTTCAACAATAACTTGCCTCCATTTTTTATAGGGACATTTTTTTAAATTAGAACTATTTGTTGTGTTGTTTTGTTTTGTTTTTGATCATCGGGATTTCGCCCCATTCATCATCATCCAGTGCCAGATCTGCGACAGACATCGGCGATCATGATTTTCCATTCATTCCTTTGCTCGGATGCTCTCAGAAAAGCTACGTTTCCCTGATCTTTCCCTGATACCCATTTGTTTAGGTTCCCTAAGTATGTTCTTCTGGGCCTACCCCTGCCTCGCTTGCCCTCAATTTTGCCAGTGAGAGCCAGATGTTCAAGACCCTTATGTCTATACTGAATATAGACCATTACGGCAGACAAATCTTTTATGTCTATTATCATCATAAAGATATCTACTTAAATCCTTAATTAGAATATTATAATGAGTCTTTCCATCCTTCTCTCTCTCTCTCTCTCTCTCTCTCTCTCTCTCTCTCTCTCTCTCTCTCTCTCTCTCTCTCTCTCTCTCTCTCTCTCTCTCTCTCTTTCTCTCTCTCAATCGGTGCACCCGTTCTTGTCTCAAAACATTTAATCTAAATTTATCTTTTTTTTCATCACCGTTCCCGTTTCCGTACCAATTTCGAGTAGGAGTGGGCACTTGGTACATGCATTATTTCGAAATGCGGGCGACGCACATGTTACACATAGGCCTACCTCAGCATCAGTGTTTGCGTGTGCGTGCGTGTGTGTGTGCGTCTGAGTGTGTGTGTGTGTGTGTGTGTGTGTGTGTGTGTGTGTGTGTGTGTTGTGTGCGTGTGTGTGCGTCTGTGCGTTGTGTATGTGTATGTGCGTGCGTGTGTGTGTGTGTGTTTGTGTGTGTGTTTCGTTTGTGCGTGTATGTGTGTGTGTGTGTGTGTGTGTGTGTGTGTGTGTG